TGTGAGATACAGTATCAAAAGCTGTGCTGAAATAAAAAAACCCCCACATCTACTGCCTTCCCTCAGTCAGCTACATGGGTGATCTTGTCATAAAAGAGAAATTAGGTTAGTTAAGCAGGAGTTTTCCCTTATGAACCTGTGAGATCAGTAACTTTAAAAGTCCATGAAAATTGCCTCACAAAAAAAAAAAAAGGAAAGTTTTCAGCAGTCCTTCATATAGGAAACTCCAGGAAAATTGCCTGTAGTTCTCATAATCTCTATCACATTAATTAATGCTTTATTGCGTACAGGCAAGCTATAGAATGAATAGTGCAACAGGCATTTTTCAAAGAAAGTTATAGTAAGAATGTTTAAGGTTTTACAATCTCAGGAGAGCTAAACAAGATTCTTCATATCTGAGTATCAGAGAAGACAGGCAGGCTGACAAATGATTGCCCTGATTAAAGCAACAATGCCAGTGTGGTGTGTTGTTTGCACATGGACTGTTTCCTTTGAATAAGCTTTTCCTGACCTTTACAGCAGGTAAGAGCAATGCTTGCTTGAGGACAGTGCACTTCATGTGAGCAATTCAAGGAAGCTGTAAAAGTCCCTGGATCTGGACCCCAAGGCTTGGAAAATCCTCTGTTGCTCTACTGTTGTGTTACAGGAATGCTCTAACCATTCACCTCAGCAAGGACACAGGTTTCAGTGACCCCAGGATAAGAGTCTGTGTCTCATGGTGCTCTTCAACCAGTCACAGAGTATGTGTGGTCACCTTGTCCTCTACCTGTGATGGCAATATCTGCCAAAACACAGAAACACAGCAGAGACAAAGAAGATACCTGTGCAGGTGGGAATCAGCTAGAATACCTACCTTTTCACTGGACCTCAGTTTTCTGCTAGATGCTTCAGTCATGGTAATTATGCATGGGATTTCCCAGTTCCTCATTCAAGGACCCAGAATGCATAAAGATTGCTTGTAACCAAATATTCCTTTTGCCCATCAACCTTGTGCCAAACACCAGTAGGAAGCAAGGGACTACTGGTAGATATTTGTTGATACAAACACATTACAGGCAACATATTGATCACCTCTACACATCAGGCTGTGTGCACTGTAATTTTAATATAATTGGCAATGACAGATGTTCATTCTATAAAGCTACACTGAGAATATTACTAAAAATTCTACTGTCCATTGATTACATATAAAAATAAAATTACATGGTGTATTGTGGTCTATTGTATGCATCCAGAGAGGAACAGTCTTCTCCCTTACACCACTATCCTGCATCAGCATTTATGAGCTGAAGGCCTCCACTGTTATGATAAAACTAGGCAGAGAAGTGGTTGTGCTATGCAACATGACTCCCTGATTTACCCTAATTTATTCTGTTTTGGATTGGCTACTCCACAATTGGTATCATGGCATTCGTTTAAGATAAGATAGGAAAAGAAAAAGGGATTTAAAGAAGCAAGATCTTTAGCTTTCAAACCCAGCAGAGGTGATAAAAAATTACACCAACCAAGTGAAAAGTAGAAGAGATTTTCGCTACAGCAAATCTTGAAAATCTCATTCATATATGGAAATCTGTATTGATAAATGTACATAAGTATTATATGAATGATGACTTGCTAAGTACACTTAACTGCTGTCAATATGCACATTATGTAGATCCCATTAAATACTTGATACCCTCAGCTCCTAATACATCAAGTGGAAACTGAGAATTAGTAGGAATTGAAATCTTTTTAAGATCAAGTGTAAAATTTGGCAATGTTTAATCTTTTCTTGTCTTCCCATTGCTTCCTAAAATGAAAAGTTTAAAGATCTACTTCTTTTTTTTATTCCTTTGACATGGTATTTTAATACTTTGCCACGAACCTAGCCTGCATACCATTTCGATATAGTAGTGTTGAAACATATCTGATGTCCAGCACGTAATAATTTTCTGGGGGGTAACTGGAAAGTGCACTGAATTTTCCTTGAGAGACTTGCTCGGGGCATGGATCATATTTTCCTGTAGTTATGGTGAAGGTACAGCTAAAATAAAATTTTGTACTCTATTTTAAGGGTAAAAAACTCATTAGAAGTAAATCATTAATCCAAAGGAGATCTGATCATTGCTATTAATAGTAAAGTAGATGCCCATATGTCCCATATTTTGACTACTTGTACGTGGTGTAATGCATCCCAAGATACCTGTACAAGCCTGTTCTAAAGTATTTTGCCCGTCTGCTTTCACTGCAGGGAATTGTAAGGGTAACAGGAAATACTGGTTACTGGTGTTCTTTATTGGTGTTGAAGCCTGTTGAAACTGAGGCAGGCTTCAACAGTGTCCGGAGTGAGCATTCCCAAGTTTGTACTGTGAAAAGGGTCTGTAGCCCCTCATTAGCACTGCCCAACATAGCTAGTCTAGCCCTTCTCCTGCGGATTTCAGCTGTTTGTGATCCAAGACCTAGTTCTGATAGCACCAGCTCTGACAAACTTCTGAAAAAATTGCTCCATCATGAGAAAGTACACAGTGACATGAGATAAGAAACGCAAAACAGCAGCTGGTAGTTTTGAGATATGGCTAGTTGGCAGTTCAAGGATTCAAAAGGAAAAAACACTGCTATAAAAAGGTGTAAAATCCTAAGAGACAAAACAGGTGGCTGGAAGATGGCAACCCATTTCAAGGACGGCAAGGACTTTTCTCTGCATGGCTGACGGATGGCTGGCCAGAGGAGACTCACTGCTTCAGAAGAAATACAGCTTCAGGAATGTCACCTTCAGAGCTCCCAAAACAGAATGTTCACTTAGGTGTGAAACTGTGAAAATTATCACTTTTTAGCCTTTGATTATGAAATTCCACATCTGCAGACCTCTAGTTTGTCTTTGCCATGAGCTTTTATTCTTCACTGTCAATATGACTCATATTACTCATAGTGCTAAAATGAGTAATATTATGCAATGTACTGGGGAGCATTTCTAGAGCATGGAAATCATTGTTCCTAGAACATCTTGACATGAAGATTTGAGAATCTTTAGAGAAGATTTGAGAATCTGAGGAATTATCTAAGACTTGATCTGTCAAGAAGCTGATGAAGAGCCTAAAGTTGTAAAATGGTGAAAGAGAACGTGCAAAACACAGGAATGATAACATCCTCCTGCTAATTAAATTATGAAGGCCTCTAATAAAGAACAGGTGATGTTCCAATTATGATTATTTTATATTAATGCTTTGGCAACTATGAGTTTCTGGTTGTACGTTAAACAGGTGTATTAAAATGTGATACATAAAGCAACTCCTTTCCTTCCCTAATTCTGTAGCAGGAAGAAACCAACCAAATGCTACCAGTGAAACACAATTAAACCTCAGAATTCAGTCCCAAAGGACTTTGACAGAGGTGTGAACCACAGGGTACTCTGACCTGATTTTTTGGTGTGACTGTTGCATATACAAACTAAACCTCTCAATCTCACTTAAAGTTGTATCAGTGGAAATTCAAACAAGTGTAGTATTGTCCCAGGATAAGGAATTACAGGGAAAAGAAAAAGAAAAAAGACTGACAATTTGAAGTGCACAGTGATCCAGTAAACCGCAGAGATTAAAGATCTTTCACCAACGAATGAAAGTGAAATAAACATTTTATCAATATAAACATTATAGAACTCTGATAGTATATTAGCATATGACAAAATTAATTCCTCGAGCACCTGAAGACATACAGAAGTCAACTCTATGTGTTGCAATGCTTTGAGTAGTTTCTGTATTCAGTGCAAAGACCCATAGTAAGGAAGATGGCACAAAGTCTTGAACTGAAGAGTGCTACATCTTGTGGTGTTGTCAAGAAAGGCTAAAGAGAAACTAGTCTCTTAGTATGGTCAAAGACTCATTAAGCAGTGAATTACCACTGGGGATGCTACTCTACCTCTGACTCATTTTTTTTTGTTGTTTCTTTTTTATTTTGCTGTTTTGTTTTGTTTTGGGTTTTTGTGTTGTTTTTGTTTGGTTGTTGTTGTTGTTTTTTTTCAATCTGGCTTGTAGGAGTAGCATATCTTTTGCAATGAAACCGCATCGGTGGTGAAATGTCTTCTCAGACCTTCCTGGGCCGCTTGTTATATAACAGTGCCTGGCAGTGCTTTAATGCCTTCTCAGCGGCTCAGGCTTATCAGGGGCTAAATCAAATGAATATTTAACAGGATCAGGTCCCCGGAAAAATAGTTTCCATCTGGGAAAATCTGAACTGACTGACTCTCTGAATGTGTAGTTACTTAATATTCAGGTACTGATCTATGCTTATTTCTACCAAGTGTCCTATTAGGATGGCTTGATGCAATATAAGAAATAAACCCAAAATCTGTCGTTTCATAGATTTCTTATGCTTCCTGTCGGTTATTTGTGTGTTGTTTAGGTGTTACTCCTAATGCTTGTAAGAAAAAGCTTAGTCCCTTGCCCAGGGCTGCAGCATATTTCACTAAAGTTTAATCTCGAGCTTTCTTTTCAGCTGAGGGTCTGCAGTGCCGCGGGCAGAGGGAGCTGCCAGTCCACCTACACGCACCCATTTGCTTCACCCCAAACCTCGGGAAAGAGCCCTAAGGAATGCCTGTACGGGCTCTTCCCTGCGGGTACCGCTGTTTGCTGGGTACGCACTAACCTGAGGAGGCTGCTCGTCTAAAAGAGGCTGGGGAGAGGGGAGGAGTCCCCGAGGGCCCCCAGTACGGCACGGGGAGACGAGAGCGGATACTGGCCCGGCAGGCTGCCCGCTGGAGCCGGCTCGTCCCGCTCCGCCGAGCTCTCAGGACGGACAAGCGCCTCTGCCGCGGCCGCGCCCCCTCCTGGGCCCTCAAAAAGGGGACGGGGAGGAGGAGAGGCTCGACTCGCACCGGCTGCCGCAGGGGAGCTGCGCCGGGCCCGCACCCACGGCTGCCCGGGGAACTGCCGGGACTCGCCGGCATCTCGAACATCGCCGAGGCTCCCGCTGCTCCGTGCTGCTCGGCGGCACCGACGGCACCGACGGCCGCGGGACACCCGCACCGCCCAGCGGTACCGACGGCACCGACGGCCGAGGTTCCCCAGTACCGTGACCGCCACCGCCCGCCCGCCGGCACCAGGGCCCAAGGGCACCATGACCCTGCTCAAGCTGTCCCTCATGGCCTTCAGCTTCGTCTTCTGGGCAGCGGGACTGACCATGCTCATCATCGGCCTCTGGGCCAAGGTGTCTCTGGGCAGCTACCTGGCGCTCTCGGCCAGCGACTATCCCAGCGCCCCCGCCATCCTCTTAGCCACCGGCGCCGCCGTCATCATCTGGGGCTTCCTGGGATGCTTCGGCGCCGCCACGGAGCACCGGGGGCTCCTGCGCGCCTACAGCGCGTTCCTGACGGCCGTGCTGGCGGCCGGGCTGGCGGCCGGGCTCTCCGCGCTGCTGTACCGCCAGACCCTGGCGCACGGCTTCCAGGAGGGGCTGCGCCAGGCTCTGTTGGCATACGGGGAGGACGAGCGGGTGGCGGACGCCCTGGACGCGCTGCAGCGCGCCTTGTCCTGCTGCGGGGTGCAGAGCTACCGCGACTGGCTCGCCTCGCCCTGGGGACTGGAGCAGAACGGGTCGGTGCCGCTCAGTTGCTGCAGGGCCCGCCGGGGCTGCCAGCGCAGCCCGCCCGACGCTCGCAGGCTGCACCGCGACGGCTGCTTCGCCAAGGTGTCGGCCTTCGTCGGCAGCAACATGTCTTATGTTGCCACCGCTGCCCTGGGACTGGCACTGCTGCAGCTCATCGGCATTGTGCTGGCCTGCTTGCTGGCTGCCCGCGTTCCTGCTGGCCTGCTGGGCACCACCACCCCTCGCTGAGGTCCCCCCACTCCTGTCCCTTGTCCTCTCCAGCTCCCTTCTTTCCCCCAGAACTGAGCGCACCCCACTGGGAAAATCCTCCCTTCATATACACCACTTACACCTGAGCATCCTCCTCCAGGCTCCATTTCTCCTCTGGAGCCCGTGTCAGGTGTGTGTCAATGCTACGGGCATCTCCACAGCCCTTCAGAAGGGAAGGTGCTGGGAAGGCATCTCCTGACCTGACCATGTCCCAGTGCTCCCATGGAGCCTCACGATTTTTTCTGCAGAGAGTGGTGGCAGCATGGACAGACAGGGCTCTGGGGCAGCAGGGACACCTGGGGCAAGGCTGACTGGTTTTCTGGGTGATGTAAATACCCAAGACACTGAAATGTGGGGCAGGAAAGAGGAGAGGGTGTGGGAGAGCAAGAGAGGTCTCTCAACATTACACCATATGAGTATTCCTTGGAGACTGGAAAATGGTGTTACTGGAGTGCACGAGGGGCAGGTCTGGTCCAGGGGCACCCAGGTAGCCATGCCAGAAGCTGACACTGGGAGCTGCTTGAGGGACCGTCCAGCGTCGTGCACCCCATTGCCGCCAAGATTTTCCACCATTGCTGTGAGCGGATTCAAGCTGCCACGGGTGCTTTTCCTGCTGTGGTGTTTCCAATGCTGATCTCGATCTAAAGGTGGAGCTGCAGCTCTGTTACTCCCTCCTTCAGGATGTGCCTGTCCTCTTAGCCAGTACGTCGCCGACTATGTCTTTGCAGGGCTGCAAAGACCGTAAACGCGGGTCCTTGTCATTCAAGGACGTGGCAAAAGCTGTAGGATCAGATTTAACGAGGGGTGGCAAGAGAAGGGAAGGGCTCGTTGCCCTTCAGAAGTTTCTTTTGGACTTTTGAAGTGAACTTCAGGGTGAGTGGAACAGACTTACTGTTTTATAGAAGGGTTTCTACAAACAGCCCTCAGACTCTTTGACACTTTTCCTTTCTCAAAGGATCTGTCTCTGAAGTGTGCCCCCACCTACATTTTTGAAGCCAGATCTATACAACCTGAGAGTAAATGTAGGACCCCCAAGACTTGCTATGTAGTCCTGGGTTTGTTCACATCAGATAGCAGTATAAATCTACAGGATTTTGGTTTTTTTCACAACAGTTCTGGGTTTGCATTTGGAGTTTGAGAAAAAGCAAGCCCTGCACTTGAGAGGGTCCTGAACTTTCAGAGCTTCACTCCTGCTTCTTCCCATGTCCTTAAAACCTCCGAACTCGACTTTTACATGTTTCTCTACCTCGCAGCACAAAGACATGCCCCTCTTACCCAGCAAACTGGGGAGGAAGAATTTCAGAAAAGAGCCAGGAACCACAAAGGAACTCCAGGATGTGGCATCTCTTAGAAATGTGACTAGCAAAGCTGTGGAGAATGGTCAAATGCCAACAAATACAAGCAGGGAAAGAAATCTTGAGTGAAAAAGATGAGTATTAGCTTCATGGGAAGAATGGTATAACCTTGGGGGAAAGGGGATTAACATCGTCCCTTTTTTCAGATATTAGGTGGCTGTTTAGCTGTGAAAATCACATTCCAGATAAAGAGTGCAATGCGAACAGCCTTCTCAGTCATTTGGGTATTCATCTGCACAAGTGAACCCTGGAAATTTGTTGAAAATCTCTCTTTATAGAGAAAACAAAACTTCATTTTTAGGATTGATGTTTATTGTTTATAATTTACATAATATATTTTTTCATTTTTTTTGTAAATGTCCCTATATTTTTTTTAATTATGCACTAGTGGAACTCCTGTTATTTTCTGGAAGTCATCATTATGTTGTACAATTTTAACAATGGACAAAAAGTATAGTTTGTATAGGTACTTGAGAAATGAAGTTTAGCAAATGCTAAGAGCAAAATAAGTCACTGTTTCAACTCCAATAAAGTATTTACATTTCTGTGTGTCTCCACATGGTTCAACTAAGTGCAAATGAAATGAAGTGTGCATTGAAATGTAAAGACAGTAGAACGTTGTAGTTTTTGTTTTTGTTTTTTCCAGAAATCCATTATAGAAGCAATAAAACAGGTGTTGTGGGGAGTATGGGAAAGGAACATGGAATTGCACTGGGTTTATTAAAAAAGTATTCTTTATTGGAGTCAATAGGCTCTGAAAATTTACAAGAATGTGATATTGCTCTTTTTTTTCTCCACTGATTACTAAAATTATTTCTGATTTTGACCTTTATTGCTTTGTATGACATGTAACAGTCAGTCAGAATGAAGTACACTGTTAAAACATATTCAAGCAAAACCCTTGTGTAGATATGCAATTCAGTGAATTTGTTCAGGTTTTAAGTTGCTGAGAATATCAAAATAGGAATGAAACTAAGTTTCAAGCATACAATTGTATGTCTATATGATGGTCCAGTCTGAATCTGAGGATGTAATGAATAATTAAAAATGTAAACCATCACTGCACTCTTGGCCTCACTGAAATAGGATAAACCTTGGCAGTGACAATGTAAATGCTAAGTATACTTATATCACCAAAGACTTCATGGACTGGCTGTGAGTGTTAGTTAAATGTTTATTGCCGGTTCCTGGAATTAACAACATTAACTTTTGTAGATGTGTGAAAGAAGTGTCATTCTTCTCTAATTAATTCCCAAAATAAGAGATTCCCAGTAGCTCTTTGAGTTGTCCTGAATTCTTTGTACCCAGTGCCCAAATCTTACTTTAATTTTAAAATTTATCTAGATTCAATGTTATTTTGTTCTGGATGGTCAGAATGACTGTAACTGGAAAATGTTAGAGTGGACAGTGCTACCTACTGCTTGCTGGAATATGTATTTGTTTTCTGTCATCCTTTCAAATTTAAATTCTCTGATCAAAATGACATATTACACTAAAAGATGAGTCCATGTTTTAAGAAAAGCTAATATCAATTTTAACATTGCTGGTTATTCAAATTAAGTATAGGAGCAAGCTGTGTTGCAGTTGTAGAAACAATAGCTCTGTTGTTTGGACAAAGTGAGATTTAGGATTAGCAGAGTGGTAAGATTAGACTCTTGTTATGAAACAAGGACTATTTTATAACATTGATCTAGAATGCCAAGAATATAAATCTTTCAAACTTCAAAAGTGGTTGACATTTTGTCCAACGCGAATTATTTACTGTAGCTGAAATTCGTGTTACAGATAATCAGAACTTAAAATGGCCTCTATAACTGATTGTGAATTTTTAGATAAGAGATGGCTTTCCTGGAGTTAGAAAACTTAAACAATAACAGTAAGATTGGGTAGGTCAGAGAAGAAAAAAGATTACTTTTGTTAAAATGTAGTTTTTGTGTTTATGTATTCATCTTCTTTAATGTTATCTTCTTTCTTCTGAGGAAAATACAATCATGTGCTATCATTAAGCAGCTGATATTGTATAAAACTGTTGACAAGAATAGTACTCATCTAAGATTTCCACAGATAAATTACAGTAAAGATGCTCTTTTTCTTAAATCCAATAACCTACAGGAGATTTTGATAAATCAGGTGGCATAGGAACTGAGAAGGAAATGCAGTGTTTTCCCAGTTGAATGTTTTGGGTTCCAATAAAAAGGCATATCTATGGAAAATCTGGGCACCTAAGAAGTCTTACCGCAGTCTTGTTCTGAAGCACCACAAAATATTGGTCAGGAACTTAAAATATAAGTCACACAAGTAACAGAATTCAATACTTTCTTTTAATCTGAAAAGACTTTTGACCACTGTAGTTAATACTTCATTGGTCATGCACCCATTCTGCTCCAAAATGGTAAAAATACATATTTCTTCTCAGCTCTATTTGATTCAAACGCACAAATTTCACTCTGTTCAATATGCCATTTTAGTTTGCTGAGAAACTGATTAATATATCCCAATTTAACCTTGTTTTCTTGTGCCCTCTGCTGTCCTCATCTACTTTCTGGGCCAGTAAAATTCAAGTATCAAAAGATACAGTGTCCCATGTTATCAAAGGGAACACAATCACACACACATGTTTTTCAGAAGCTATGTATTTATTGGTCAAATATGTGGATTTGCTTGTGGATGGGACAGTGACAGAAAAAAAAGAAGCAATCTAACGAACATAACATATTTTGTCCTTCACACTAGCTTTCGTTTGCAATTAACACTCAGTATTCTATTGTAGAGAGGAAATCTTTTGTTAATGATTTAAATCTACGAAATACAATTTACTAGAGAATCTCATCTGGGCTACAGAATTAAAATTATCAAATTAAACATTATTTCAAGTGCTGTAATTCTATAAAGATTTCTCTAATCTGTTTGAAACGATTTCTGTGAAGCTTTGCTTCTCCTGTTTTGTCATTCTCCTGATGTCTAGAGTCACTCTTAGGGTGGCTGCACAGCAGCAAAGTTTTGAGCTAAGTAGTGTTTGAAGCTTCAATTTTATACTATTCCCATTTTGTAGACAGTCCCGGTTTGTCACATTAGTGTACTTAGACTGATACATTATTTGTCACATTAGTGTACTTAGACTGATTCATTATGATTATAACATTTATGTTTGTTGGTTTTGAACAGGATCTTGAGTCTTAGGCAAGGCCACAGCAAAATAAAGGGAGATGCAATGTTCATATTGACCAAGACAGACAACTCCTTGGAACTGGCAATTCTTGGAAGACTATGATAATACGTCCTAGCACTGCAACAAATAGATCAAATACTGCTTGGTAATTCATGTTTCTAGTTTTTCCAAAATAACAGTTCTGCAGCTTTACTCTGTCTACATGAGATGCATGCATCTTAAGGTATCAACACTTCAGAGCAGTGATACGGTCTCATAAAAAAATCTAAGAATAGGGATCTTTCATATGTAGTGATAATAATTTCTGATAGCTCCACTTCTTCTGGGTCAAAAAGATGAGGTGCTGAGAGTATCTGTGGTCAACGCTAGGACTGACTGGAGGGTTGGGTTGATAATATCTTGATTAAAATCTCAGCATTAGTTACAGCAGTTCTACTGCTTTATTACTGCTCTGAGTGCATCTTCCAGGGCTATTTCTCTGCTGTTTGATTTCCTGACTTGCAGATAGCACTGTGTAGGGTGCCTGTTACACTTTAGTAATTTACATGCAAAGTAACTAAAGTGCTATTGGTGGGAAAATGACCTGTGAAATACAGCACTCTCCTTTCTGAAACTTCAGCATCCCTTCCACAATATAAAGGAAGCCTGTCTAGTTAGTCAATATCTTTTACATTGGTTTTGAAATTTGTTGATGCTTATTGAAAGGGTAATAAATAGGTATTTTTTCATGAAGACTTTTCCACTTGACAAAGCTTCCCTTGGAGGACTGGAGTGATGGTGTCCCTTCTGCTTATGTCAGCCTCTGTTGTGCTGTAGTTTGCAGCAGGAATCTCTTCTTGCATAGCAGCTCACTGCTGAGAGGGGACTTTGAATAGACTTTGGAGTTCAGCAGCACTTCAGTGTCCTGAAGCCACTTTGTGGACAAGATGCTTTTCTCAGTAGTTGTGCTGGAGTATTACGTCATGTTACTTGGCATAGTGTGCTTGTGTTTCAGTAATCCCAGGTACTGTCATTCTTGCCTAGAAACTTTCAGAAGAGATAGAGGTGGAGGCTTGCCAGATGCAGTAGCACCTTGACTTTCAGTGCAGAGTTCAGCCAAAATAATAATGAAAATAAAGGACAAATCCAAAAGCTAAATATACCTGTCCCATAATTTTGAATAGATCTGCTCACTGAAACTGTTAAAGAAAACACCAGGAGGACTAGGGAATAAGCAGAATTGGAAATTCATTAATATTGCAAAAACTTTTCGCCAATGTGTGGCATGTTCACACTTCTTGTCCATTTTGCCCTTCCACCTACCTCTGTAACTCCACTTCTTATGCCTGGAGCGTAATTATCTGTAACTCTCATCTCAGTTATTAGTGTTCTGCTGTCTTAGGAGTTCCCTTGAACCAACTCCTCTTTCTTGTCTAGCTTCACATCCCAGGAGTCAAGCAGTCCTTCGAGATCTGAGCTCCTTGTTGGATACGTTTTTGAAAAGAAGTGTCTTGATCTGCCTCGTTTTAGTAACAGCAGTTTTCTAGCACTAGTAGTCACCTTTATGTTTTTTAATCATATGAAAAATTTGGCAGAAAGATATAATTAAATAATAATTTCAGATAGTTATTGTTCTAGTAGATATTTGTTTCTTACCAAAGCAACACCCCTTGCTCCCCACCCTGCATATATCATCTTTGTTGTCTTGATGGTATTGTTTGTAGTTGCTGTTGTTTCATTAGAATGATAATACTCTGGGAAACTTAGGCAGAAGCTAAACTAATTACTTTACAAGGAAATAAGTGGCTTTGGACCAATTCTAGTGATTACGTTAATAATTTAGTTAATAAAGTTTAGAAGGTACCATTGAGCAAAATCATCAGAAATTAAATATGTCATCAGATGTTTTCTGGAGAGAGTAGAGGTAGAAAATCAAGCTCCCAGAAAATGAGCCCCGTAGTTTGAAAGCAGAACAGAGATTAATTTTAAGTCTCCTGGTAAAGGCCATTGAGACATACACCTGGTTAATACAGCTGTCACTAACAAGTAGAAATGAAGATGTGAGTGCTGTTTCAAAGCCAGCTTTCTAGCATATGTTGTATATGTCATGCTTCCAGTTTGTCAAGGATGTCATCTTTTATTTCCATTCTGTGTGATGTTCCTTGTGTACTTATGACATTCACATTTATTTATTACTCAGTTTTTGGCTCAAGACACTTTTTGTTCTTTTCCTTTTTCAGGAGGCTTAGCAATGGCGTTGAAGCACCATTCTGTCCCTGACAGTGGAGCCAGTAAGATTTCTCCAGTGCTTCCTGCATATTTCACCCTTAAAAAAACAGGACAGCACTATTTTTCTCAGAGTTTGCCCTGTGCAATATCTTGTTTGCTTCTAATTTATAATATGAAACACAGATTAATCAGCTTGCCCACAGAGACTTCTATCATAAAAAAGCATTGCTTGCCTTTAAGCCATTTGTTTTTCAGAGTTTGCTCAATGGTACCATCTAAGTTTCATTAATGTAATTCCCCTGATGCTGCTTCCTCTTCAGCTTTTAATTATGACATTGTAGTACAATGGTCAGCTCCTTATTAGTTGTTACATTTTTGTGAACTTAATTTTTTTTGTTCTTTCCCCTGGCTTATATCACATTGATTATTTCTATCTGTGTATAGATGTTTTTAATGCGTATTGTTCTGCTTCAAATGAGATTTAAAAAGCATTTGACACCCTAAATGTCATATTTAGCTTGATCCAAATTATTACAATACTGAGTCCTGGGACTCTTTTCCAGAGCTGGTGGGCACAAAGCTGTAAGCCGTCAGGAACTTCAAATAAAATTTATTCCACAAAAATAGGGTCCTTAAGTTCTTTTGGTCTATAGCACTGTTGGTGGAGACCTATGCACATGAGCATAGAAAGCATGATTGTGCATGTGCACAGTAGTGTGTGCACATACCTCTGTATATCGTTGGCCCCAGGCTCTGCCATTAGACATTATGACTGAGATGGCAGAAACAGAGAGAGCATCTTCCAGGGTTTCGACCAGGGCTGTCCTTTTTCCACAGAAAGGGCCAGGACAGCTACTAGAAAATGAACAATTTCACCAAGGATAGTGCAGATAAAAGCACCAGGAATCAGCCACTATTGTGTTTTCTTTGAGGGCACTCATCCTTCCAAAGCCTGGAAGGGCCATGTAGACCAGCCCAGTGCAGTGAAGGGTTCATCGTCAAGGCATCTGACACTAATCAGATGTCAGATATCAGCCTATAGAAAGTTTGTGGCTTGCTCTGTTACCAGTCCTCGTGCTCTGCTGGTGGCAGAAAGGTCAGACACTGCTTAAAGAAACCATGAAGCCCAAGGCCCATGTGAACCTGTTAACTTGGGTATGGGAAGAGAGAAGGTGGCATGAATATCTTATATATGACACATATATAGGTAGAAGTTGATATATGGCTGCTGATACGTTTGCCTGCATAGTGTGCTGTGGAAATCTCTCTGAGAGCCCTATGCTCTCCTTGCTCAGACAGAAGCCCTACTATGGAGAGAAGCATCTTTACTGCCTGGCTTCATCAAGTTGCCTGGTTCTGGTGGGGCACAGACTCTGTGTGAGAAGTAGTTTTATCAGGGTGGGTGTCAGTCTCTTTTCCCAAGTAACAGTGAGATGATGAGGGGAAATGGCCTCAAGTTGCAGCAGGGGAGTTTTAGATTAGATATTAGGAAAAATTTCTTCATCAAAAGGATTGTCAAGCATGGGAACAGGCTGCCCAGGGAAGTGATTGATTCACCATCCCTGGAGGTATTTAAAAGACATGTAGATGTGGTACTCAGGGACATGGTTTAGTGGTGGACTTGGCAGTGTTAAGTTTATGGTTGGACTTGGTGATCTTAAAGGTCTTTTCCAACCTAAATTATTCTATTACTCTATGTTTACAGTCAAGGTGTTTAGCAGAGGGTGGTTTCATTCAGTGCTGAGTTCCCAATAATCAACATAATTTAGCACAGCCACTTGTGCAACATAAGCAGCTGGAACAAATTCTTGCTCTGTTCTGACCCAAAAGAAAAAAAACCCCAAACCTTAATGTTTAATACAGAATTTCAAATATTTATATCCATTCTGTTAATAGCACTAACTCCTGCAGTTTGTGAGATGCCTTGCAAGTCTCGTTCTTAGCTATAATATACATCCCAATCCAAGACAAATTTGGATTTTTTTTTCCAGTTTTGTTTAAGATTGGAAAACCTATATAAAATACAGTTCTAGGGTTTACTACACCTTTTATCTTTTTCCTTTTTTTTTTTTTTCC